GGGGGTAATGGGGGTGACGGAGGAAATGCTGGATACGGGGGTATAGGGGGTGATGCGGGGCCCTGGTCAAACGGTGCAGCTGGGGGTGTTGGGGGAAAGGGTGGTGTTGGGGGTGCTGGGACTGGGGGTGATGGGGGTAATGGAGGCAATGCTGGTGACGGGGGACATGGTGGTAATTGGTGGCCAGGGGCGAGTGATCGCTCTAGAGGTTTTAGGGGAACTGTTGGCGCAGCAGGAAAAGCTGGTAATGGGGGTGGCATTAGATTTGTGGGTGAAAGGGGACCTGTGGAAAAGAGTAGACAAAAAGGTCCCAGGGCACCAGAAGAGGCTGTAGGAGTTCCCGGGACTTCTGGGAGGAATGGGATACCAGGAATTCCTGGTGCACCTGGTGTGGCTGTGGCTGCTAGTGAACCTGAGGGAAATGTGGTGCCTGCAGCAAATGAAGGATCCGGCCGTGGGGGTGTTGGAGGTGCTGGAGGGACTGGTGGTGCTGGGGGCGCTGGGACTGGGGGTAATGGGGGTACCGGAGGAAATGCTGGCTACGGAGGTTTTGGGGGAAATGCGGGGCCTGGGTCAAACGGTGCAGCTGGGGGTGTTGGGGGGACTGGTGGTGTTGGGGGTGCTGGGACAGGGGGTAATGGGGGCAATGCTGGTGACGGGGGAAATGGTGGTAATGGGGGTAATGGGGGGCCAGGTGATAGCTCTGGGGGTGTTGGGGGAACTGGGGGCATCTGGTGACGGGGGGAAATGGTGGTAATGGGGGTAATGGGGGGCCAGGTGATAGCTCTGGGGGTGTTGGGGGAACTGGGGGCATTGGGGGGACTGGTGGCGCTGGTTTAACTGTGGGCGCAGCAGGAAAAGCTGGTAATGGGGGTACCAATGGACTTGTGGGACCTGAGGAATATAATGGACAAAATGGTCCTAGGGCACTGGTCGAGGCTGTAGGAGTTCCGGGGACTTCTGGGAGGAATGGGATACCAGGAATTTCTGGGGCACCTGGTGTGGCGTTGGTTGCTAGTGGACCTGAGGGAAATGTGGAGCCTGCGGCAAATGAAGGATCCCACGGTGGGGGAGCTGGGGGTGTTGGAGGAACTGGTGGTGCTGGGGGGGCTGGGACTGGGGGTAATGGAGGTACCGGAGGAAATGCTGGTTACGGAGGTTTTGGGGGAAATGCGGGGCCTGGGTCAAACGGTGCAGCCGGGGGTGTTGGGGGGACTGGTGGTTTTGGGGGAGCTGGGACGGGGGGTAATGGGGGCGATGCTGGTGACGGAGGAAATGGTGGTAATGGGGGTGATGGGGGGCCAGGTGATAGCTCTGGAGGTATTGGGGGTTTTGGGGGCGTTGGGGGGACTGGTGGCGCTGGTTTAACTGTGGGCGCTGCAGGAAAAGGTGGTAACGGGGGTGGCATTGGACTTTTGGTTGTAGGGGGACCTGTGGAATATAGTGGACAGAATGGTCCTAAGGAACCAGACGAGGCTGTAGGAGTTCCGGGGACTTCTGGGAGAAATGGAATACCAGGAATTCCTGGGGCACCTGGTGTGGCTGTGGTTGCTAGTGGACCTGAGGTAAATGTGATGCCTGCGGTAAATGGAGGATCCCGTGGTGGGGGAGCTGGGGGTGTTGGAGGGACTGGTGGTGCTGGGGGGGCTGGGATTGGGGGTAATGGGGGTGCTGGAGGAAATGCTGGTTACGGGGGTATAGGGGGTTATGGGGGGCGTGGGTCAAGCGGTTCAGCTGGGGGTGTTGGGGGAGACGGAGGCGCTGGGGGTGCTGGGTCTAGGGGGAATGGGGGTAATGGAGGNCTCGCATGGTGGGTCTTCTGGATAGAATTCAAGAAGCACAGAATAATTCGGCTCGCATTGTTCTGCGCAAACGCAAATTTGACGACGTCAAAACACTTCCGAGAGAGCTGCATTGGCCGCCGGTCCGTTGTCGCATCGAGTACAAAACTGCAACTCGGTGCTTCCGCTGCTTGCGTGACCTGGCGCCGTCCTATCTCAAAGCGCTCAAGACGCCTTATGTACCCACTAGATCGCTCTGTTCATGTGATAGTGGCTAACTCTGAATACCGCGTGTCCACCTTGAGACCTACGGATGGCGCACTTTCACTTTTGATGGCCCAAGAATCTGGAAGGCCTTGCTGTCGCTCTCAGAACAGCCAGACACTGCATTCTTTCAAAACTGAGTTGAAAACACATCTTTACCGCACTACCTGCTGAGGTGATGTAGTCTACCTCCTTGCTTCCAAGGAGCTTGCTCATATTCCTCGATGTTCATTACCTTGTATTGTCAACTGGCTTGTATGTAGATTTTGTATTGTTGCGTTTTGTATTTTATTGCGCCTCAAGCCTTAATTAGGTATGAAGTGGATTGAAATAAGCTTTATTATTATTACTATTTTTATTATCATTATTATTATTATTAAGCATTACTTTCATCCATCAAAACTAAAGAAAGGAGACCATAGGTAGCTGAATTATTATTCTAATCTAATTCTTAGATTTTTTGTAATCAGAAAAAAGGTCTTCACGTGTCTTAACATGTAAATTCAAAATTTTAAATTTTATTTGAGTAATTTTCTCTAATAGGTAATTCTGGCAACAGTTGTTAAAAATTGGCAAAATGGTTTTCTACCCATCACGAAAACATAGGATTCAAATCTTTAAAATAAGAATTATTTGCCTCAAGAATTCAGCTTTTTGTTGTTACGGTTTTCGATATAGTTTTGGGTAAAATCACCACTAACCACCATATTTTAAGATACCGATTTTAATTATTTGACCACAAGTGTGGGTATTTTATATTAATATATATTTGTGGGTATATACATACATATATTATATGTAAATTAATTAATATATATAAATATATATATATTTATATATTTATATATATATTTATATAAATAAATTTATATATATATATATATATATATATAGGTGTCCTGTATTTAATATTTAATATACATTTTGCTTTTCGTTCATTCATCCCAAGTACGCCTTACACTAACAAAATTAAGATTTTATTGGAACCTCATTCATATGGATCTTATTATGTTTTGTAAAAAACACAATTATTAACTTTTATTATTTCTTTTGCTAATAAATTTTTATATTTATATTTTTCTAGAAGTGTTCAATTTTTTTTTTGTTTGTTTGAATCCCATTGTCTTTAATGTTGCTGTTTTCTTGCTGGTTTGTTTGATGTTTTTATGTTTTTGCTGTAACCTTGTTTTGTATTTATTTTTTTTATATTTTTTGTTGTTGTTATAATTTGAATTCAATAAATAAACATGTTATTTATTGTAATTTTTGTTGTATTTAAAAAAAAAAAAAGAAAATTGTCAAAAAAAGACAATTGATTTCAATACAAAACAGAATCACATTTTATCACATCAGTCAGATCAAATGAGAAAACAGAATTTTCATTACCATCGTAGACAATAAATTTATTTCAATACAAAACAGAATCACAATTTATCACATCAATAAGATCAAATGAGAATACATAATTCTCACTACCACTGTAGAAATGTAAATTTTGTTCTTCTTAAATTCTAGGAAACATTTAAAAAAAAAAAAGGTCATAAACTTGCTTTTTTTTTCGTTTTTTTCTGTAGTGCACCAAAGGGGTTTTTACTGTTAAACAGAAAAAAAATGATTGTGAAGCATTTGACGTCATTGGATTGATTCAAAAACCTCAAACACAAATTTTTATGCTTTTTTTTTCCGTTTGTTACACACACACACGCTTGCTCACACATACACACAAACTACTGTAACGGTACTCCTAGGTACGTAATTTGGGTAGCCCCCCCCCTCCCTTCCCCCACTGAAATTTTAGTAGTTTTATTTTACTATGTATAAGTATGTAGCACAGCAGAGAACCAAATGTAGCAAGAAATAAAACAGAAAAGAAAAACGTTTCTTATCATTTAAAATTAGCAATAGAAAATTTAAAATAACAACAACATAATCTCGCAATTATTACTTAAATAAATATACTAGTAACACAAGAGATAGAATCTACATGGGAGAATAAATTAATAACAAGATTTGGTACGTTGTCTCCATTTGGAATAAACCAAATCCACAACTTTACCTAGCTGCCATGTCTTTTTCCTGTTTGCTTTTTACAATTTTGTTCAAATCACTTCCTTTCTACTCCTCTTTACTTTGTTTTTGTTTGGTATTTCGCCTTCTCCTATTTTTTTTTAGGTAGAATATATGTATATATATATTATGTAAATTTAATTTATACTTATTTAAATATTTTGTTATTGTACTGATGAAGGCATGTGCCGAAACGTTTATTTGTGTATTATGTATAATTATTATTAAAGCTTAAATTATATTGTTATATTGACACAAATTGTTGCTGTCTAATCGCCTTATGTAGTACCAGTGTTTATATGCTATTGTACTGTACGCCTTATGTAGTACCAGTGTTCATATCTACAGAAAGATCAGTCTAATCTTTAAAACAGAACAGACCAGGTCCGGACTCCACATGTCACATGCATACACCACCATGTCCCTCTTTTGACTTTAGTCTCATAGTCAGCACGGTACAAATTATACTCGAGATCGTTCACAAGTTTTCTTGCATATAATCGCTCTACGTGTTCTTGTCTGTTCGTTGTCCTCGACATCAACTAGTTGTGTTCTTGTCTGTTCGTTGTCCTCGACATCAACTAGTTGTGCTATTGTCTGCTCGTTGTCCTGGACATCAACTATTTGTGTTCCTGTCTGTTAGTTGTTCTGGACATCAACTATTTGTGTTCTTGTCTGTCAGTTGTCCTGGACATGAACTATTTGCGCTCCTGTCTGTTAGCGACACACGTTATGAACTATTTGTGTTCTTCTCTGTAAGCTGTCTTCGACAAGAACAATTGGCGCAAAGCAAAACTTGACGATGCTTTTGAAGTTTTGGAGCTAGAAGGATTGGGTGAAACTCGGTAGTCTTACTGGTGTCGGTCTGTCCACTGCAAAAGAAAGCTTAGGATTCTAATCATTTTGATTGTGTTGGGAGCATTTTTGATTGTAGACTACTGAAATTACAATAAGAGAGGGAGAGGCTGAATCTTAATGTTCTCCCCATGACGTCATTTATGTGTTTATTGTAGTTGCAGTGAATTAAGGTTCAGGTTAGGTAGAGGGATCGATTTAGGGTTCAGGCTAGGCATAGGGATCGAAATAGGGATAATTCACTAAACAGCATTAACTGGTTGTGTCAACCAAGATGGCGGCCATCGAGGGACTATAATAAGAATTGACCGCTGGAGACTGCAATTTGGTTATGCAAAACAAAAAAAAAAGAAAAAAAAGAGAGAAATGGGTGAAACAAAGTACGGGAAAGGCAAGAAGCATTCATCGGTAAAAAAAAAAAAAAAAAAAAAAAAAAAAAAAAAAAAAAAAAAAAAAAAAAACAAAANACTGTGATTGGTTGTAACCAGGATAAGTTCACCTGTTCAACCTCTCCTCCGCCCCCTCTCC